ATATCATACGGGTTTAAACATTATAGCGTAGATAGATGTTTATAAGCTAAAGTATGTGATGAATGTGTGACTTTTATATGGTTATTGTTGACGACATGTTGATTATAAGTAATCACATGGACGGTATGGAAGAAACGAAGATGTTTCTATCTTTCAGATTCAAAATGAAGGACCTTGGATAGGTGAATACCATTTTAGGTTTCAAAATCACAAAGACTAGTGGGGGTTACTATCTAAATTAATCACATTATATCGAGAATGGAATAAATAAGCTCAAACATTTGAAGATAAAAGAGTATAATACCTTGATTGATTCAAGTTCAAAACTTGTAAAGAATGATGAAAGGACGATTGCTCAACTTGAATATGCTAGTGCTATAGGGAGTCTTATGTATGCAGTTCAATTCACAAGATCGAATATAGCCTATGCAATAAGTAAACTTAGTAGGTTTACTAGCAATCCAAACAATGATCATTGAAAGACTATTGGGAGAGTTCTTGGATATTTAAAGAAAACTAAGAACTTAGGTCTTCAATATACTAAGTTTCCGGCGGTATTGGAAAGATTCACTAATACTAGTTGGATTGTAGCACGGGTGAAAGTAAATCCACTTCGGGTTGGGTGTTTACTCAATGAGGAGGTGCTGTTTCTTGGAAGTCAAAGAAACAATCATGCATAACACACTCGACTATGAAATTTGAATTTGTAGCACTATCGAAAATCGAGAAAGAGACTGAGCGGCTTAAGGATCCCTTGTATGAAATACCTTTGGGATCGAAAAATATTTCTTCAATACCTATCATGTGTGATAGTCAAGTCATATTAACAAAAGCATATAATGAGGTATACAATGGAAAGTCTAGACATATGGTCTTAGATATGACTACATAAGGAAATTAATTAAAGATGGAATAATTTTTCTAAATTATGTGAGGTCAATTGAGAAATTTGCGGATCCTTTGACTAAACCTCTAAATATAGATTTAATAGCATTTTCTTCGAATAAGATGAGGTTGAAACTCCTAAATTAAAAAAAGTCTACCAATGATGGCAAACCTACCTGTCGTTACTCAAAAGGTAATCCAAAGGTTCAAAAAGTAGCAAGTCACTTGATATGTAGATATTGCAGCATTATTAAAATTCGCAATGATCATATCTTAATTAAAATAATACTGGTTGTTACCGAAGTGGGGGTTGAGTTTTAAGCTCTTAATGAAGTTCAGTGCTAAAACATAAGTACCTCTAAAAGTAACAAATGTGCTGAAAAAACTTCACTTAAAACAAATTTCAAGGTGGTGCTGCCTTAATAGAGAGTTGGAGTTTCTCTCTTAAAAATTTGTTGAAAAGAATAAACGCAAGGCCATAATAATGCTAAGCGAGTTATGAGGAATTTAAAAACACGTGGTACTCGTGTGTGTGTCCATACCAGTATTGTCATATGGAATAACTGGTTCAAAGCTTCAGCTACCTTTAATTTTGATTTTACTTTGTTTAAATTACACTATTGTTAGATTCAAATCGAAATATATCTAATTCTTATGCATGAATATCGTATACTATGAACATGTAACTTGTTAATTTTGAACAAGTGGGGAATTGTTGAGATTTGTTGTTCAAAATCAACAATTAGTGTGTATGGAATGGAAAGATTGGAAGTTGGCTAAAAAAATCATGTATGGAATGGAAAGATTGGAAGTTGGTTGAAAAATCATTCGTTGGGTCCGAGTTATTACCATGTGACCACATGGTTCTCTTGAACCATGCAACCGCATGTTACAAAATTTTGGTTGTTGGAAGTCGTTTCTGAACGTTAAATATTTGAATCTTGGTGGCCTTCCACTTGGTTTTTGGCACCATTTCACTCCTTTATTCGTGGCTTATATATAGTATATCTATATTCAAGGCTTTGGGTATGAAGAACACTTGAGATCCAAAATCATTTCAAGAACAAAGATCAAACTCCCGATTTTCATTCATATTCATTTTCTTATCACGTTCTTCAAGTTTTGGTTAAAAATACTTTGTGCTTTAGTATTTTCTGCAACAAGACTTGTTATAATCTTTCAAACCATTTGCCAAAATACCATTAAACATCTCATAACACCAGAGAGGTGGCAAATAACGTTTGAGGACAGCGTTCCCGCGTTTGAGCCTTCGATGTTGTTCTAGACGACATTTGTGATTTCTTCATCTTGTTGTTGTGAATTTCTTGTTATTTCTTACGTCTCTACTCAATCCCTCCATTATTTACCAACAAAAGACACTTCTGAAAGTAGATAAAATCATATGGTGGTTCCGATCTTCATGGTTCCCAACTTAACAAGATGAACTTCTTGAGGATGAAGATCGTATCCAATATGCAACTCTTCAAATAATTTCTTCATCTCAAGAACCAGCTCGGTTCTTCGTCGGCTCCTACTGAAGTCTTGAAAGTTCATTGCCTGATTGAAAAAGAGAGCCATCTTAATCTTGTTTACATTTTCAATCTCTTGCGTAACTACATTGTGATTAGGATGCCACTTCTGGGGAATTTTTTCTAGATACCTAGCAATCAAAATACAATAAGAGGGTAAACTAGAGAACACAAGAATAAAACCGGTCGGTCCATTTAGTTTTCAAAACACTGCATGTTTAATATAACGTTCAGATAATTAACTTCTTAATTTGAGAAATTCATAGGTTTTTCCTACTTATTTGGAAATTTAATGCTTTTCTTCCTCTGTAGAAAACATTGTAGAGAAGAAATTAGCTTAGTTTAACAATGCACAAATAATGAGTTCATCTCTTTAAATTGCCCAAATATCGAGAAATTTGAAGGAAATGCGACAAACTAAGATTTGAAATTATAATTTTGGCAATGTTTCAGGCTGGTATTAATTCATGCCAACATAAGAATAAATTTTATGTGAATCTTTTTAGGGCATCGCTATTTACATCCACAGTTTACACACACACACACACACACACACACACACACACACACACATGTGTGTGTGTGTGTGTGTGTGTGTGTGTGTGTGTGTGTAACTCAAATTCTAATAATAATAAAATATCATCTTCAACGAAAAAAAAAATCAATACATTATTAGAGTTGTAATTCTTTCACAATATGAAAAATGGAATATTATTTTTTATGCTCTTTCAAGTATTGGTTTGACATATGAAAATATACGAGAAATTTCAAAATAGGTTTCAATACCTGTCCAAATATTCTTACCTTACAAAATGAAATAAACTTAAAATTATCAGCTGAAACACAGACAACCAAAATTATGAGCTTATAAGAAAAAATAAAAATAAAAAATGGCCATCTTCATCTAAAATCATAAAGTGATAAAACCCTAATCTTAAAATATCCGCTTCAGCGGAAATTAAAAAAAAAACACAATATTAGAGTTATAATTCTTTCATGATATCAAAATTGAAATATTATTTCTTTTTATGTTTTTTTCAAGTATTAGTTTGACATTTGAAAATATACGATAAATTTCAAAATAAGTTTCAATACCTATCAATAAATTCTTATATTACAAAAGAAAAAAAAAAACTTAAATTTTCAATCGAAACACAAACAACCAAAATTATGAACTTATAAGCTTAAAAAGCAAAAATTAAATAAAATAAAATTGATTAATATATGATTTGAGGAGGAATTTGCTTGGTTGCTTGAATAGTATACCCTTGATAGAATCTTATAAATTCAAGAAAAGAGATTTGCTAACCTTTTTAACTAAATATTAAAGTACCGACATTACAATACAGAAAATAAAAAGTAAGAACCAGATTAAATGTTAATAATGATTGGATGAATATAGTGATCTTTAAATTTTTGAAATTGTATTAAGAATGTATTTATATTGTGATGAATATATAAAATTTGTATGGATCTATAACGTTTAAATGAATGAATTTAATAAGGATAATATTGAAATTTGACATCGAGGAAAATGATAATTTTTTAAAATTTTAATATTTTAATAATGATGTAAATAGAGTGGGATGCATGTATAAAAGCTATGGATATAAATAGTGGCACCATTTTTTTACTATAAATCATCAATAATATTAATCATGTAGAAGCTCGAATCAGGACAACAATTGATATTAACTTTACACACCACAAACGAAAAATGGAAAGTATGGGTACACTACTAGTTCAGTAGTTCTTGGCAATTAATAGCATCAAGGAACATAAAGGAAAACACGAACTTACTTCTTTACTTTTTCTTTCGAAGCTCCTATTTTTCTCTACCCGTGTGTTGAAACCGATGGAAAAACTCGAACAAATCACCCATATCTGAGCCTCTATAGAATATTGATTTTTTGAAGAATGTGTAATTAAAAAGTTAGAAAAATTTTGAATTTACGTATAAAAGATTTTATAGTATAGATATGTGGTTAAATTCAAATTTATAATAAGCAATATAAGACATTTTTCAAAATTTAGTGGCCAAAGTTCGAAGTTTTTCAAAGTTCAGTAGCAAAAATTCTACTACCTTAAAGTTTAGTGAGCAATAGAAGATATTTTTCAAAATTTAGTTATCAAAACTTGATCATCTCAGAGATTAACGATGTGATAGAGTGTCATGTGTGCATTTCGTCAGCAACGTCGTCAATTTCATTAGAAATTTGAGACGAAAGTTATGCTAATGGATAATATAAAACATTTTTCAAAGTTTAGTGATTAAAACTTGATATTTTAAATTTTAACGAGCAATTGAAAACATAGACCTAAATTCGGTGATCATTAGAACAATTAACTCAGTGTTTAACGCCTTGGCATTGTTGTACGATAAAAGTTGTCGCCTTGACAATCACAATTAAACCAAAGTTTTGAATAGTGTTTTTTTAAGAGAATGTGTCGTTGAAAAGTAGAAAAAAAAAGTTTTGAAATTACATGTAAAATATTTTATAGTATGAATGTATGATAGAAAATGAGTAGATAGAAAAAAGAATTTAAAAATAATAGTTGTCAAAATAGGGGCTTTTGTGACAAAAATTGAGTGACTAAAATGAAATCTTTCTCAAAGTTGGGTGACCTCTAGCGTTTTCACCCTTTTTCTTCGGTTCTACCCCTGCAATGGTGGATGTCAAGCCATGACCACCGTCACCGCTACGGCCGCGGCCGCCTCATACCACCGTCTCACAAAGCCTCTCTCAGTCATCGCCAGTATAACCTCTCTCCTCCAATCCTTGAACCCCCAACACCCAAACACTCACCAAAATCCAGACCCTTCACTTCTCAACCACTTCTCCCCATACTTAACCCCAACCTTAGTCATTCAGACCATCAAAAGCCAAACTAGCCCTTACCATTCGCTTTTCTTCTTCAACTGGGCCTCTTGCCTGAGCTCGAACTCAAATAACTACACCCACAATCATTTTTCCTACATTGCCATAACTGATAAACTCATTTCACATAAATTATTTTCCTTAGCGGCGGATTTACTGAAATCACATGACAGATTTTCTGACTTTATGGTGGGAAAGTTTATCAAAGCTCATGGTGATTTAGGCCATTTGAAGTGGGCTGTTAAGCTTTTACATCAAGTGAAGGAGAGGGAATTTGGTTGTTGTTTATTTTCCTATAATGCCCTTTTGGGTGTTCTTATTAAGGCCAATAGGGTTGATTTAGCCTGGGGGTATTTCGGACAGATTGTTAAAGAAGGTGTTGTGGAACCTGACGTTTCTACTTACACAATAATGATCAAGGGGTTGTGTAAAGTGGGCAGGCTGGATGATGCCTGGAAACTGTTTGATGAAATGCCTCTGCAAAGGAATATGGTTACTTGTAATACTATTATTGATGGGTTTTGCAAGAAAGGTTTTGTGGAAAATGCTAAAATAATTGTCGACGAGATGGTTCAGAGTGAGACTTGTTTGCCTGATGTGGTTACTTATACTACTTTGATTGATGGGTATTGCAAGAAAGGGGAGGTGGAAAATGCTATGAAGTATTTTGATGAAATGGTGAAACGGGGGAGTTGTGCACCTAATTTATTGACATACAATGTTTTGATCAATGGGTTGTGCTTGAAAGGAAATCTTGATGAGGCAAGGAGAATGATGACTAGGATGAGGTTGAGTGGAGTGAGGGATAATGTTGCGACTTGTACAAGTTTGTTGAGGGGCTATTGCATTGCTGGGAGATCGAACGAGGCTATTCAATTTTTTAAAGAAATGGTTAATCTTGGTATGAGTCTTGATGGAAATTCATATGCTATTGTTGTGAATGAGTATTGCAAGTTGAGAAGACCAGATGAAGGGTTTGCCCTGCTAAGGGAAATGAGGGCTAGAGGCATTAATTCGAGTGTTGTGAGTTTTAATGCTGTCTTAAGGAGTCTTGTCCAGCTGCAAGAACTTGATAAGGCAATTCTCCTTTTGAGGCATATGCCCCGAATGGGTTGCATTCCAAACTTTTTATCATATAATGTGGTGATAATCGGCCTTGTGAGTGCTAAACGAAGGATGCAAGAAGTCGACATGCTTGTTAATGATATGCTTCAAGATGGCCATGGCCTTGATGCTACATTGTATAGTTTCTTGGTTAAAGCATGTTGTGAAAATGGAGATATAAATAAGGCAATATGGCTTTTTAAGGAGATGATTAATGTGAAATATGTGATCAATCTGGAGTGCTTTGCAGTTCTTTGTGGGGAATTGTTTGCAACTGGGAGGGCATCCGAGGTGGAAAATCTTTTCGAGCAGTTGAGAAACGTTCTTCCTGTGAGCGATGTGAAATATTATCGAAGGATTTTAAACAATTTATTGTGTAGAAATGGGGATCATCAATGTATTTCACAGTGATGGATCCTAAAAGATACAGATACTTTTTGTTCAGTTGATTAAAGGGTGGAGGTTGATCTCTAAATCCTCTGAGCTGTGCTGAAAGCGAATTATTATTGCCAAGGGGACTTCCTATATATTTTATTTATTATTATATTTTGTTGGGTGGGACGGTGGCTCTTTCCTGTGGAAGAGCATAATTTGGGGACGGTGAGCTGATTGAGCAGGGTGTACGGTAAAGAAATTGGGGATGGCAACATGATGAATGTATTTGATGACCCATGGCTGCATGAGGCCGAAGTCCTTTCGGCCGTAACGAACTTGATTAAGAATTGAGTAGATTTTTGTTCCACCGGAGGCAGCTGCTATCCATCCCACTTAGTGGTCGGCAAAGGGATGACAGCATAATTTGGCATTATGACCTCCAAGGTGTTTGTACAGACGGAACTGGATATAGGTTCTTGACTGATGTGGGGACGGACTCAATGGGTACTAGTGCTTGGAGTGATGCCTCATGGTGGAAAACTGTGTCATAAGTGGTCATATTCATCTAGTTTTCTTACTTTAGGAGTAGACACTAGACATGAGCTAGATAAAGAGGGGTCTAGCACCTCCTCTTTCCCAATCACCACCCGGGTAAGTTCTCTGGGAGACCAGTCTTTCTCAAGCTGCCTCTGTCTGCAAAGACCTCACCAAAAAATCTCTCCCAAGTCGTTAGTATCCCTTTGTGAGTCTTTTGCTGAAGAATTTATCCTCAGTATCCCAAACACGATGAAAAAGGCCCTTACCAGTGTGGCGGCCTTCGTCTTTCAGCTTTAGGACTAACTTAGTCTTCTTTAATAAATACGTATTCAATGAGTGACTGCCGGCAATGCCTGTGGAACAGGTGAGTCCTCTCTTCATGCCTTGTTTTGGTGTACAGTTGCACGTGAGGTAGTTCAGTGGACGGCATCAGGGACTTATTGGCTGGAATTTGTAGGGAGTGCACCTCACTTGAACTGGCAACTATCGGCTGAATGGTTCTTTGAGGAAGCTGGGGCAGGCCTGTCCTTTGGATGGTGATGGGAGGCAGGAAACAATACAAAATCAAAGCAGGGTCATGTGGGTTCTGCCATTAGTTGGGAGATTGAAGTTTAATACAGATGCATCCTTGCAAAGTGGGGTTAAAGTTTTCCAAATGAGGGCTGTTATTCGAGATCATGCTGGAGTTGTACTGGTCATAAGAGAGTGCTGGGATTTCTTTCAGTTGAGAATGATGAAGCTACTGCAAGATGGGATAGGCTGAACTTTGCGAAGGAAAACCATCTCGATGTGGAGATCGTGGAAAAAGATTCACTGCGTGCTGTTCAAAGCCTCAAGTCTGATTTTTGCCTTGCTCCAAATGAAGTTATCCTTTCTGATATTATAGCTTTAACCGTCTAGGAAAAGAGAGAATATTGGCTGAACTTTCTTCAAGCCCTTACCTATTTAACATACATTTAGTGAAGAATAATGCTATGTAGCCCAACCAGAACCGCAACCCCAGCCTAGATAGTACTAAATGATAGGCTAAATGAAAGGTGAAATTAAATTACTTATATAATTTCACCTATCATTTAATGCCACATTAAGGCCACCTAAATGGGGTTGTATATAATGTATACTTCTTGCTTAAAAGGCTTTGATTTATTCATTAAAGATGATTGTTCCTATAATTTTTATATGATCATCTGGTTAAATGATTGAACCTTTTTTCTTGGATTTAGTGGAGCTATTTCACCAGGTTTTTGGTACTGTATAGAACTAGAGAAAACATGTATCACTTTTTTAACTTCTCATTTGCTGCAAATGTATCACTTTTTTAACTTCTCATTTGCTGCAAAAGTGATTTTGAAAAATGATTAGAAGCTGTAAATACATTGCACTGGCACAAAGCAATCTGAGAGGAGATGAGATGAATTTTTGTTTGAGCCGTGCTTCACGTACAGAGGGGAGCCTTACAGACTTTTTCCAGAATACACACATACGTGGGGCCCACGTAATTATTTTTTTTAATACATGTGGGGCCCCTGCACGATGAGGGGTCCTATAAAACATCCGAGTAAAATTCTGTACACTACCTTGGGCACTTCTGTTTTTGTTTACTCCGAATGGTGCATTGGAGCATAAGCCAAAACATTGTATTACAAAGATAATTATTAAACGGTAAGCACTTATCCGCATAAGACAATCCTTGTACTGGACTGTTTCCTCATTTTGTGTGTCGATCTATCCAAGTGGTCTCTTGATGGCACGTTGGATAATAATGTAGATTGAATTGTAGTGTACCAATGTTGTTAAAGAAAAAAGACGTTAAAATTTTATTTATTCTATTGTCCAATCCTATTGTTTAGTCTTGTTCGATATTATTATCCATTATGTCTCAGGGCATGTTTTAGGAGAGAGAAGATTGCGAGAGATTGAATTACGATGTATTGTTACATCATATTAGAAGACCATTCAAATAAATAATAAAAAATAAAAATTTTATGACTTTTTTTGGGGAAGTACTTTCCATCTTCTACCTCAGCAAAATGTAACAAATCTACCATCAATCATTTTTTTCCTTCCTGTATAATCCATTCCCAACCTCTCAATTTACATAGCACATTAGTCATTCCCTCATTTTGACCATTAAATGATGGAATTGTCATTCTCATTAAATAAACTAAAAAAAAAGAAAAAGTAAAACTATATATGAAAGTTGCAAATGAAAATTCTTTAACTTTTAAAAAGGTACAAATAAATTTAACATAAAACAATAATATACATAATAGCACATAAAATTGTTTAGAAAAATTTAACCATTCGCAACAAAGCTCACCCATCTACTTCCATCCCATCCCACCTCCGATCAAACACCACAATCACAAATATTATCACGTCTACAACTCGGCTCATTACTCATATCAAAACAAGTTTGAGTTGCTCACAAATTGAGTCGGGCCTCAAACACGAAGAGCCATGGCTGCCTTCTTTAACTGAATGTGTGTTTAAACTGGAGCTCCCACCTTTGAAAGAGTTCTTTCATCGTCCTCTCAATGGAGGTCATTAGTTCTTTAATTGAAGGCGTCATTATTGAAGTCTGATAGATCTCATTCTAAATGAAAGGACTTGACCCATAGAGGGGATTGCACAAGCCGTGGAGCACGTGGTTTAATTCGATACAACAAGCAAAAACTTCCCTTCTAGATCTAGAGATAGATAGGTATAGGGAATCGCCTTAAATGGATCTCCACCCTGGTTAAACTTCGAGACTAGACCTTTGAAAGACTCTCTTTGAAGAATGGGGAAAAGAATTTCTTTTATAATGTCCAATTGCAGCAAAAGCAATATACTTATTAAAGAGCTTATAAGGTCTTTCAAACACAACCAAACGAATTGTGTCATCAGTGGTCTATTAATATAGATGTAGCCGATAATTGTTTGCCTTCTCTATTGCTATCTAATACATTAATGCTAAGCACTAGTCTAGGTGTTTATAAAACGACATTATTGAGCATCTTAAAATAATGAATAATATTTTAGACTACTAGTCTAAATTTTAAACTTTAAATGACAAGTGCTCATTTGAGATTTTCAATTATATAATTGATTACCAATCTAGATGAATACCATTGCTCATATTGTCTTGTAAACCAATCGAGCTACATAACGTTACTCTTTCATGATGGCAACACTACCAATTAAGCGAAGTGCAATTGAGTAAAATCTTGTACTCTTTTCAGAAAGATGGACCAATAATGCATACAGATATATGTTGGGGCAATAGTGCAGAATGCAGAAGTCAACGGACGAGAATGATTCGATGAAATTTGCAAAGCTGGAAGCCTTTTAATATATTAACTTGAGACTGCAATGGCTGCAACCTAGCTAAGACTAATATTCTTGTCGTCTTTGTATAGAATCACTTCGTTTAGAAATTCAAGTTTTACTTTTAAGAACTTTTAAGAGACACATGCAGGCTAAATTCATTTTCCAGCTTAAAGATTTCTTCGCTGCAGCTGCAATGCCGATACAAGATTAAAACATGGGACATGATAAGAAATAAAGAAACCATTCTACATTTTCAAACATTTACAGAGGTATACAATTAGGCAAGACCAACAGGGCTGAAATTACATAAAACTTTGGGTTTCTACTCTTCCTCTGCTCAAGCAAAACTCTCTTGACGTTTAGCCGACAGCTGCTTGAGAAACTCGTACGTGGTGATCATGGTCGTTGAAGACATCGACATTGAAACCCACCTAGGACCTAAACCTCTGTAACAAGCACTTAGTCCACCTTCCTTAACCAAGTTCCTCACCGTCTGTAAAACCGTTGGCACTCGACCTCGACCTCGACCACAACCACTTCCTTCTCCATCCAAAACCTGCAATCTCGTCTTGATCGTGTCGAGAGGCGTTGTAACCAAAGCCGATACCCCACTAGCAAATGCAGAACTCAACCCCTGAACTGCCACCATTGCCTTCCCATCCGGCCTATAACCACTCTCGTCCTTCTTGCAGCCATAGCAACCTATGCATCCCCAAATCAACCTATGTGCGACAGAGTAAGAAGTCCACCACACAGCACTGGAAGGCGCATAAGTCAATATTGATAACCCGAATCCCCTATACAATCCCCTCACTCCATCAGCATGTATAATCTTTCTAAATGCGTCGATCCCACCATTGTACGTTTTCAAGCCAATTGAACCACCGTTGTTACCACTTTGGACCATCAGTCTCTGGCTAACAACATCGATTGGTGTCCAAACCAATTGCGCGGCCATTGCAGCACTTAGGCCAGCAGCAGCATTAGCAATAGCACCGGCCGAGGCCTCAGATAATCCCAAGTGACCAATAGCAACCTTGCCTACATTACTCTTTGTCACTTCAAGTGCCCCCATGTAAAGGGAGCGTGCAGGAATTGTTCCTATAAGGGAAGTCCCGAATCCCCTATAAAATCCTCTGAATCCCTCGAATTTCAAAATGGAACTCGCCATTTTCATAGACGAAATCTTATTCAACGTAACTTGCTGACGCGTTTTTAACACCACAACCGGATAGAGTGTGCCTGAAACTCCTGAAAATAGCAATGCCCCAAGTAAGAAAAACTTGGATTTATCCAACATCTTCCAATCTATATCAGCCGGAAGATGAATTTCCGAAGCTGAAACTTCCTCAGCCGCAGCTAAACTCATTTTCCGCACTCCCACTTTCTCTAAAACACTAACACTCATATGAAAAAATAAATCTAATCCAATCCCCTTAATTGATTATCTTCAGCATCTGTTATCAGAAAAGCCTAAAACGCATTCATATGTACATAGATATATACATCAAATATCTAATTTTTCAAAACACATAAAGAAGGGGAATCTCTAAAAAAATTAAACTAAACCAAATCCTTGTCCTAATTTTCCAAGTCTTCCAAGTGGTTGAGCTTAAAATTCTAGAAAAATCACAAAATTGTTCGCATGGGTATATGTAAATCTATTAGAGAGTGAGAATAAGTGGGTAAATATTTTTTTTGCGTCTTCGCTAACAGATTAAAGAGCGAAAATGAGTCAGCACAAAAGGATCCAGCTTTTGGAAACAAGAAATGATTCGGATAATAAAATCCGATTAGTTGGTATTTGCAGACTCATATATATATATATATAGTAAAAATTTCAAGAAAATTACAGGAGATTTCTTGAGCTGAAAGCGAAGGTGGGTGTGTGATGCATGCAATTCTGTGTGCCAAAAAGGGCGTTTATAGGGAATTAAAGGGTTTTCGCGGAGCAGATGGATACAGACACATGTCGATCGTTATATTCAGAAAGAAATTTAGCTTTGGATTCATTGTGGATTAGGGTTTAGAAATTGGGCCGTTTACAGAAGGCTGGCTGGTTCTGTATTGGGCAGTGGATAACGTGATGGTGTGCCGTTTGATTGATTGATAAAAACTGTGGGTGTCAACTGATAAGGCAATCAGACCAATGGGCACATTATTTTCTTTTCTGGCATTGGTAGAATGGTAGCCAATTGTTTCCGAAAGCTGCTTTCACTAGAAATTGCACGAGTCTTAGTTGAATTAATCCATTTCTACAAAATTTGTTTACAAACTAAATTGTTGACAAGATTTAGGTTATTTATTTTCATTGATTTTAAAAATTATTTTTAAAATAATTGACCTAAATATTGTCAATACATAGTGATGTCCCAAAACCTAATAACCCTCGAACTCAACCTGTTTGGCCCGACCTCAATCAACCCCAAAACCATCAAATCTGAGGTCGGGTCTTTAGGTCGAGCTTGTCCCCCTTTTTGGTCTCGGGTTTAAAACCCCTTGATTCTATCCTTCACAACGACCTAGGGAAGTACTAACTCTAATTAAACCATAGTTCCTAGTTCTCTTTAAACATGTTATTATTGGCTCATAACATTTTAACTCAAACTAAAATACAACACTTCAGTTGCAACACAAATATCTTACCCTATGAGGATAAATATCATATTTGATTAAATCATTCTATGACTCTACCACCAACGTCTATAAATACATGACAAATGCCTATTATTCAGGTACGTTCTCTTTATTTTCCAATTCAAAGTCTTACGCACTAAATTCTCTGTCTGACTGAAGTATCGGAAGGACAATGAGAATATACCTCGTTGTCTTTGTTTCAGGTACCAAAAGACCGTTCGTGTTCATCTAAAATTGGAGTTCAAGAGTTAAGTTCGAGGTCATCCAGGTACACTTTTTGGTAGCATCACATAATTTGTAAACCAAATTTATTAGCCTAATTTGCACAAATAACGTGATTCAGTCTTAGTTATAAAGAGGATTCCACAAAAGGAGTGGGCCCCCACATGGTGGCCTTGGATATTCGTGTTGATACGAGATTTTGATTTTGAGGCAATTCATATTTAGATCGGCCTAGATCCAAATAGGCCTTTCCTTTAGACCAAACATGACATGTTTGGTTAATGAATTTGCATAGTTGCATTGACTTCTTTTCATCAATTTGTCCCTGTATTGTGAATTTGTGTTGAAATTGAGAGATAATATACCAGTTAGAACTTAAAATAAAAATCATGAATTTTGATAGGAGATCGGGACATTTTTTAATAATTTGTGCGGTCACCCATGAGTCAATGCACTTAGATTTATCATGATTTCAAATATTCAAGTAAGTTTGATTTTACTCGAAAGAATATTGTCAAATACTTTGGATAAAACTTTTTGTCAGTACAAATAAAATGATCGTCGTAACTCAATAGACCAAATTGATCCGAATAGCCATATATGATGAAATTATGATTGCTAGCCCTTTCAAATCAACAAAATTTTCTCAAAGATTAGATTGTTAATCTCTTCACTTATTTTCAATTAGTTTTTATGTAATTGGAATACAGTTAAAAAAAAAAAAATTACAAAATCAATGAGTATTTTAGTTTGTTCAAGTTAGGATTAATTAGGTTGATACTTAAGAAAATAACCATACGTCCAGGCCTCTGGACATGGCGTCCCTGTTTTTAAGCCTGTCCAGAGGCCTGGACAAGGGGCACGTCTGGATAATTAATAACAAAGTCTTTGTGTGAGATTTTACCGAACATTTGACGACAAAAAATTTACTCAACAAATTAATAAGCAACGAAAGAACTCTTGTTTATACCAGACTAGGAAGTAGGAAAAATGATTGTTTACTGTTTTTTTTTGTGGGGCGGGGGGGGGGGGGGGGGGGGGGGGGGGGGGGTGAGAGAGATGATGTCGGTCATTTCGTGCTCAAAATGTAAATATCAAAAAATGAATTGAGCCAAATTATAGGGTTAATTGCTTCCGTTCTAATTGGGAATTTCATCTCAACTATACTTTTTTTTTTTGACTCGGTTTCGTAAATTAATGGTTTGTCTCATTGTGCTGTCAATTAGGTAATTATGTCGTTTTGGTTGTTGTATTACATATACATCATAACTCACATATTTGTTTACAATAGATGATATTGCGAGATTTGACATACTATTTCAGCCATTTCTTGGTGAACAATAGCTTTATGACCATAACGTACTGCTTACTGATTCCAAATGTAGAACTATCATAGCAAGAAAGATTTTATTGTGAAGAAAAAATAGAAAAACTCGAGTAACAAGAAAAGCCAAGTTATAGGAAGTTCAAAATACGAACTTCTGCATCTCTCTAATAGGATAATCCTTCAAGGGAAGGATCATGCGTATTAACAGAAACTAAAATTCTCTTTCATTTTTGTCAATATCATATATTATTTCATTTCTAAATTAGTTTTGTTTCCTATTACAGCCAACTAAACGTGTATTATATATTCTATTGTTTATTGAAACAAGTCAATAAAAATTTGCTTCATTCATTGAAATTCAACATAGTATCAGAGCGTTAGATTTCAAAAAAATCCATACCCTACCTTTGCCATGGCCAAACTTGTCTTGGATGCCAACAAATCTCTCATGGATGCCTCTTCCCCATATTACCTGCACACATCCGACCAACTAAACCAACACCTCGTTGATGCTCTTCTAAATGGAGACAATTACCCTGCCCAGCGTCGATCAATAATACGCACCTTGAATGCTAAAATAAACTAGGATTCGTCCTTGGCACCATCAAACGCCCAACCACGGACACAGCTGCCGCACTACTTTGGGACCGATGTTGCGACATGATAATGTCGTGGTTACTTCATTCCATTGGTCGATCTCTCACTGGACGCCTCCTTTATTGTGAAACACCCAATGACCTATGGGTTGAACTGGAGACCAGATTTTAGCAAAGAAACAAAACGAAAATTTTTAGCCTCAAATGTGATCTTGCCAATCTCTTCCGTTACATCTTCAATTGCTGCAGTCACATCTTCAGGTACGATTCATCCACTCTCTCAATTTGTCTCATATAATAATTTTTTCGCTACTCACTTTGCCTTTTCATCTGCTTTATCACAATCTTCTGACCCTACTAGTTACTCTCAAGCTACTAAGCACTCCCACTGGCGTGATGCTTTGCAGGCTGAGCTTCGAGCCCTTGAAACTAATCATACTTGGTATCTTACTCTGCTTCCCCTTGGTAAGAAACCCATTGATTGTAAGTGGATCTTTAAAACTAAATTACATGCAGATGGTTCCGTCGAAAGGTATAAAACTCGGTTGGTGGCCAAAGGTTACACTCAGGTTGAGGGTCTTGATTATCATGACATTGTTGCCCCTGTGGCCAAACTTGTTACTATTCGTTGTGTATTAGCGATTGCAGCTACCCGTAATTGGCATCTTCATCAACTTGATGTTAATAATGCTTTCCTTTATGGTGTTTTGGATGGGGAGGTCTACATGTCACTTCCTCCTGGTTATGGACGAGAGGGGGAGACTCGTGTTTGTCGCCTAATGAAATCTCTTTATGGTTTTAAACAAACTTCTCGTAATTAGTACTCCAAGCTCTCCTCTGTATTATTATCTGATGGTTTCACTCAATCTGTAGCTGATCACTCACTCTTCACTCGAACTATTGGATCTTCTTTTATTGTTATCCTCGTCTACGTTGATGATATTTTGGTTGTAGGCAATGATCTCTCTACCATTACTACCATCAAGAATTCTCTTGATCACAGGGAGGGGTGGGCGTGGGTTGGGTTGGGTCGATTTTTATCCCAACCTAACGTGATCAGTTTGATTAATGTTCAACTCAACCTAACCCATGTAAAGATTGAAACCCAACCCAACCCAACCAAATGTCGGTCGGGTTGGTCGGGTTGGGACAACTTGTAAACAAATATTAAAGTCACCAAAATATTAAATTTAAAGCATAAAATAGTATAGTCCACCAAATATCCATCAAATAACTATCCAATAACAATTATATATCTGTAGCCGAAACAAAGTGACTAGTTATTAGTTTAACTAAATTGGATGAATTACATTACATTAATCCCCCTCCCACCCGACCCACTCCACTAGTTATTAGTTTAACTTCATCTCCAGTACAGCCTTCAGGAATTAACTACTGACAACCTCAATAAAATCAAAAGGCCCCTAAAATTCACGAGCTTAAATCCATATTTGTAAACCATAAATTTTCTAATCAGATTCGGCATGACACCTAATATCCAGAAACAGCATCTCTTCACATCCAGGATTCCAATTCAAAGCAACCCACTCAATAAAAAAAGGGTATCCATAAAGAATACAGGGAAGAGCCTTTCCCTATTTTGTACAAGGGACTTGCGAATGCATAGATATATTACCTTTTAGTCGATCAAAACACACCCAAAATTGAGAATGGTCAAGCAATTCTTAATTTCTGAAGTTTATTGCAGATTGCAGATTTGCAGTTTCTGCATTTATAACAAAAAAAGAAAAAAAGAAAAAAAAGAAAATACGAATATAAAATAACGAAGTATACATACTTTATTAGACTACCACTGAAGCAGGAGTGTGAACGTTCGACTTCGACGTTGGGTTTTGAGAGACGAAGTTCGTCGAATCGTCATTGGGTTTTGAGAGAAAATGACGGGAGAGACGAGAGATTAAGGCTTTTGCCTTCTTGTTGGCTGTTGATGGGAGTGGTTGCAAGAAAAGATGGACCAATTGAAAATTTTAGAGCTTTTTTTCATTTTTTGTTTTGTCATTTTTTTTTTTCAATTTTTAATGTTAGCGGGTTGGGTCAGTTTGGGTTTTATCGGGTTTCATTGGGTAACCCATAACCCGACCCAACAACACAACTCTAAACCCGAAACCCACCTAAAAACACCAAAAAATCGACCCAAATTGGTTGGTTTGGGTCGGGTCAGGTGGTTTTCATGGGTTGGTTTGGGTTTTGCCCAACCCTAATCACAAGTTCAAAATCAAGGATTTAGGCACCATGAAGTACTTTCTTAGCCTCGAGATCGCCCCATCACATCTTGGTATTTTCGTCAACCAACGCAAATATACACTAGACATTCTTGCTGAATCTGGTAACTTGGGTTCTCGACCAACTACTTGTCCCATGGATCAGAATTTGAAACTCAATCCTGATGATGGCACTATACTCCCAGACCCGAGTTCATACCGACGCCTAGTTGGTCGGCTCTTGTACCTCACCATTACTCGGCCAGACATTTCCTTCTTTGTTAATATGCTAAGTCAGTTCATGCAGAACCCTCGGGACTCACACCTTACTGCAGTCTTTCATGTTCTACGTTACCTAAAAGGCCCTCCAAGACATGGTCTATTCTATTTAGCTCAGTGTAATTTTCAACTTTCTGCATACTCAGACGTCGACTGGGCAAGTTGTCCCACCACTCGTCGTACCACTACTAGTTTCTTCATTACTCTTGGAAATAGCCCTATCTCGTGGAGCACAAAGAAACAGACTATTGTTTCTCAATCTTCCACCGAAGCTGAATACCATGCAATGGCTATGACTACATGTGAACTCGTCTAGCTCAAATCTCTTTTGCATGATCTTGTTGTTCTCCATCCGCAGCATATTCTACTCTGCTGCGACAATGAGGTTGCTTTTCATATCACACAAAATCCTATTTTCCATGAACGCACCAAACACATTGAACTTGATTGCCACTTTGTGCGTGAAAAATATTTGTCTGGGTTCATCTCCCTACGCATGTCTCATCCAAGCTATAGTTAGCTGACATTCTTACTAAGGCTCTTGAAAATGACTTATTTCACCATTTCACTCGCAAGTTGGGCATTACGGATCTCCATGCTCCAACTTGAGGAGGAGTATTAACAGAAACTAAAATTCTCTTTTCCTTTTTGTCTATATCATATATTATTTCATTCCAAGATTAGTTTTGTTTTCTATTACAGTCAATTAAACATGTATTGTATATTCTATTGTTTATTGAATCAAATCAATAAAAACTTGCTTCATTCATATGAAATTTAACAATGTATGTAGAAACACAGTAAAGCTCCTCTTTTCTCGTACCAGATAATTCAGAGTTCTCATCATGCTCATTTTATCTGGATTGATTCCTATGCGAAGCTTCCGGTCGAAGTTATAGAGAAATTGAGCTAAAGGAAGCTCCAATGCTAGCTAAGTCGTAGGTCATTCAAGGACACATTCTTCTACCTGTCCCAAACGGAAGACATTCTAAGTGATTTCTGCAAAATCGATAGGGTTATTCTCAAATCGCTCTGGCTCAAAACTTTCTGGTTTATTCCAATACTTGGGATCTCTTCCCATTCCAAATATATTTACAAAGACTTTAGCTTTGTCAGGTATAAGATATCCATTGACTTCACAATCTTCTCTGCAAGGTCTTGGGATAAGAGATGTCAAGAGTATGTAGCCTCAAAGTTTCTTTTATTACCAACTTAAGGTACTTCAACTTTTGAATATCAGTGGCTGTCGCTGATTTCTCCATTCCAGCTGAGAAAATATCCTACAACAAATACACAATCTTGTTAATGAAAATGTAACTAGGAACATTACTTAAAAGATTATACATATAGCCAAAATACTTGCAGCAAGAACAGCTTTGATGTTGCCATTGTCTCTATTGGAAACACCAATTTCCTTTACCTGTAACAGAACATCCACTGCATCTTCGTCTCCGAATTCTCCATTTCCTCTTCTTGTCAACTCTCTTCGATCCAACCCTACATTTGAAATGGGCGGGCTATCTTAAACATCATCTGAAACACTTGCCCTTTGATATTAAGAGGGACGAAAAAGGTTGTCTCCATCGTTGGATTTCTCCTCTGCCGTCAACTCACGTGTGTAGTAACAAGGAGTAACACAAAGAATGTAACTTAGTATCTCAAAAAATTGCATCCATAAATAGGATTAACACGTAGTGTAAGTTACAAATTTAGAAGATAAATTTACAATCATTGTAAACTCGTTAAATGCAAAGTTTCCCAAATTTTACCATGAAAACTACAGTGTACTATAAATTGTTAAAAATTACATATTTCCAAAATTACGTATAATATGCCTATGTTTGATTCCCAATTTCTCAAAAACTCATTTTCAACTACACATTTTTTCAAAAAGTAATTTTATAGTTAAATCGAAAACTTTTGCTTATTTTTTAGCCACGCATTTTTTTAAAAATCAACATTCAAAAAAACATTTTCTTACAAAATGGAGCTCAAACAGGTGTTATAATTGACGTATTTTCCTTCAAACATCATTTTTGTATTGTAATTTTGCAATATTTAACAAAATTTAATATTTTTACGCTATCGTGTTAATTGCCCTTAATATTTCTTGCTTTAAATGGGTCCTAAACCTACCAACTCACCAAAGTCTAATCTGACAAGGTCCATTTTGATATCTGGATTCTACTTAGGCCCAATGTCCAATATACCGTTAGTACTGAAGGTGTAATTATAATCATAGATAGAGGACTAACGTATGCTATTTCAAAAGCTAGATACTAATATACTATTTAGCAAAAAGTGAGGACCAATACTGAAATTTCCCTACACCTAACTGACATTCGGGCTCTGCAATGTTCTGGAATTTTGTAGAACAAAATACAGAACCTCCTAGAATCTGTCCCTCTTCTTCCTTACGCTCTAGAAACTTCTTTCTCCTTTCACTCCACTCCCCCATCTATAAAATCCAAGCTCCATTTACACCATAATCATCAAGAAAATCTTTCTGAAGTATCTGCATCAACAAATCATCCATACTAAAAGTTTTTCAATTCGAAAGAAAAGAAATGGATTTCAGGCTAATGGGATTCGACACTCCACTTTTCCACACGCTCCATCATCTGGTGGACTCGGCTGAGGATGGAGAAAACAGGTCCATGAGTGCACCAACAAGAACCTAGGTCCGAGACGCCAAGGCCATGGCGGCCACACCGGCTGACATCAAAGAGTACCCGAATTCCTACGTGTTCATCGTGGACATGCCGGGACTGAAGTCGAATGACATCAAAGTGCAGGTGGAGGACGACAATGTGCTGCTGATTTCTGGGGAGAGGAAAAGGGATGAGGAAAAAGAAGGTGCAAAGAATGGAGAGGAGAGTTGGGAAATTTATGAGAAAATTTGTTCTGCCTGAAAATGCAAATACTAATGCAATTTCTGCTGCTTGTCAAGATGGGGTTTTGACTGTGACTGTTCAGAAGTTGCCTCCTCCCGAGCCCAAGAAACCCAAGACTATTGAGGTTAAAATTGCTTGAAAGGAATTTTGCAGCAGCTGGGGAAATGGGAGTTTTATGGAATAATGAGAGCTGGAAGTAGTAATAAAATTTGGATTTGTGCTTATTTGCTGTGCGTAATTTGATGGATGTGTGTCCATCAACTATGTTTATTATGAATGAGAATTTGTGCATCTAAAAACGTCACTTGCTGTTTTTGCGTTACTTGTCATGATTTAAGCCAGCAATAAAATTAAAATAAGCAATCTTGTACTTTTTACTGGTTACTAGGAGAGTGCATACAACCATTTTCCAAGCATTCAAGCAATGAGATGGTAGACACGTTTATTTGTCCTCGTAATCTCCTTCTGTACATTTCTCGAAAGTTTCCGAGGCTGCTCTAATTGATGCTTATTCTTCCTAACAAACAGAGCAATAAAGAACCTTCCGTCTTCAATCAGATCCGTCCGCAGAAAATGTCTTTAGCGAGCTCCGAAAGGAGTCAGTATGGATTTCCGACTCTAAATCAAAACTCGCTTCACTAATTCAAATTCCAGGAGTGGAAGATAGGCGTTAAATGTCCCTAACTGGATAGAGAAAGTAGCGTAAAAGCTGATGGCAGTCCAGCACTTAGACTTTGGGGACAGCAAAATGTATGGTGGCACGTAAAACTTTGTAATTGGCAGAAAAGGAGATACTAACGGTGTTAATCCCAAGAGAAACTATTTTCGAAGTACTCCAAAAGCTAATAACGATGGGAGCAACATCGTTAGACGTGGGGAGAGTTCTGCGTGTTTAAAATACGGAAGCAGCAAATGTATAATCAAATTTGGCCTTTTAACCATTTGTACAACAAAGGAATTCACAGACTAGCTACAGATGTGATACATGGGGTGTGGGGTGAGCTCTATGGATTTAAAATATTGTCCAAAAATGCCATCCACTCTCATGTTGTGTGTATTCTATTGAAGTTTTGTAAACCATTTTTCTGTACACATAGACTCTTCCATTTTTGAGAAGAATTCAGACAAATTATGGGTCACCCAATGTAAGGTTTATTGTTCAAAAGTTTTCCTTCATTTGGTAAAGTATTGGTTGCAGGGACACGAGGCATTCCTCTAGTCCTTTCAATAATGTGGTCTCGGGTTGAAAGACATGAAGAGTTGGAATTCGGCCTTACTTGTTAAATCTCTTGGGAATATTTATCAAAAAAAGGATAATCTTTGAATACATTGGGTTAATCAATTTTATCTTAAAAGGGGGCTAGTATTTGGGAGGTTTCACCAAAAAGAGACGACTCGCCTATATTCAAAAAGCCGATGGAAATCAGGGATTTACTGTTAATATCTGCTGCATTGTTTCAGATGAATGCACAGGGATTGCCTATGCAGGCCGGTCAGGCGAAAGTGAGGAGCAGTTTGGTTTGTTCAGGTCGATTAGCCTCAGGTTAGCAGGATGCAACTAATGAGGCAGATACATTAGCACGGCCTGATATTGATCTTATTCAAGCAGTAATGGACAGATTTACAACCTAGTCGACGGGGGATAAATTTTGCACTAGTAAGGCTTATGATTTTTTTCCAACCAAGAGGAACTAAGAAGATTTGTGTAGCTAATGTTTGGAGTTCTTGCATAACACCGGAGCACTCATTTTTGCTTTGGTTAGGGGTTCAATCTAAACTCCTTACTAAAGACAAATTGCAATACTTGGAGATTGGCCGAAATTGTGTTCTTTGTGGACATACGGCGAAAAAAGGTCAGCATTTTTTCTTTGAGTGTTCATTCACTTCATTCTTATGGGAGAAGATCATGGAGTGGCTTGGCATTGGAAGATCTATGTCTACACTTGCTAGTGCACTGAAGTGGATAAAAAAGAAGGCTTGTGGAACATCATGACTTAGCAAGGCCAAGAAGATCGCTCTTGCAAGCAATATTCATTACATTTGGTTAGCTAGGATTAGAAAGATCTTTGAAGACTTTAGACCACACTTGGATTGTATTGTGAGATGAATTAAAAAATACGGATACAAAGTTATGTTCTCTTTGTATCCGTATGCTTTAATTCATCTTGAGTCCTTAGTGTTGGGTCATTGATTTTTGTTATACATTCATTCTTTTTGTTTATCAAGGTATGCCCAGAGTAATTGTATAAAACATTTGTTTTGTTTTACCCGGGTATGTTCGGTTTGCTTGCACATGAAATTCTACATTTACCAATAAAATAAATAAATAAATTTGTGAGTGTCCCCATTATGTATACAAAATACATTACTGCCAATGTAACATAGTATCAAATGTGAAAGAATTACTACCTCCTTAATTTAT